ACGCGAACCCTCCCCATAGAAAGAATACCAACCGTAGATGTAGAATCAATCAGACATAGAAGCCGACGGCGAACTAGTGGTGGTGGTGGTGGTGGTGCTGGTGGTGGTGGTGGTGGTGGTGGTGGCAGTAGAAGCAGATCCCTTAGTACCCTGTAGCCCTTGCGAGGAGAAGGATGGGCCGACCTGCTCAGTCTGGCAAGGAGACCAAAGAGTTATGAGCTTGAGGGGCCGTCAGGGGCCGATAATTTGAGTTTTGTCGGGTCTCAAGTCTTCGGGGTCAGGGCTTAGGGTCCTAGGTTTAAGGGTTGGTCTTCCGGTTTTTGGCGTCGTTAAGTGATTCGTGTGGGTGTGTTCACAGATTCCGAGTGCTGCAGGGGAGGCTTGTGCTGGTGCGGTGCGACGGGACTTGGGGTTTGAGCTGGTGATTGATGCCAAAGCTGGAGACGTTGATTTCCTTGCAGCTCAGCATCCGACATTGACCTGGGGTTAATGAGGCAATTCGGGTTTGGGATTGCATGTCACAAATTCCTTCCAACTTGAGCATGCCAGCACGGACTCAAAAATACAAAGGGTTTGGGATTGATTTATCCAGGAAATCCGGAGCTGGCTTGATCGCCGGGGCCTCTTCGAAATGGTTGCGCTCAGAACTAGAGGATCCTTGCATTGTAAAGTCTGGGCATAGGCCTACATTTAAAATAACCGTTATTGTCTACCTGCTGCTGTTTTGGCTGGAAGACGTTTTCTCCAGCTTGCCTTTAAGTTGAAGAGAGGCTTTGAGAAATGCCCTCCATACCGGGAGTTTGCAACCGGCAGGGCTTGGGGAGATGGCTGGAGAGGGCTTGGGACGAGTGGACGAGCCGACCCCTGAAACCGGGACGAGAGGCCAGACTAGGAGGTGGGGTCCTAGCACGGAAGCAGCATCTCAGAAGCCTTGGGAAAGGTTGTCGGCTGAGTTGTCCTGCGAAGAACCGAGTAAAATCCTTGAGAAAGGAGACAAAGATGTGAAAGCGGCTCCCATTCCTGACGATCTGCTGAACCTGGACACTGCCAACCTTTTTGCACCTTGGACTGAGACTGTTGAAGTCTGCAGCAGCGAATATGAGCGAGGGTCCGTGTAAACGTAAGAACCCGGGTTCGTGAACTAAGGACAAGACTCGCACGATTCAGGGCGAGGTGGTGCGCAGTTGCCGCAAGGGTGCCAAGCAGGTGGGCAAGTGTTAAGCGTTACAGCATGTACGGAGAACATATCTCTTTAAACATCTCTATGCAAGTGCAGATTTCTTTCCCCCCCCCTCTCTCCGTTTGTCTCTCTCTCTGTGTCTCTCCCCATACCTTTGCAGTATTCACATGTTTTGTTGTAAAAGTGCGTGGGTGGCTGGGTTGGTGGGGGGGGGGGGCGGGTCTGTCTGTGCGTCCCTCCGTCCGTTTGTTTGTTCGTTTGTGTGTGTGTGTGTGGGTGGGTGGGTGGGTGGGTGGGTGGGTGGGTGGGTGTGTGTGTGTTTTTGTTCTTTTAGCGCTAGTCACTGCTATTCCTGTGCAGGTTGCCACTGTGGGACCGGCTTCCAGCAGTATGGAAATGTTGGCCCCGTCCTTAGATGTGTTTTGATTCAAAGGGACCTGGCGAAAAGAGACAAGAGATGTCATAACCATGAGCTCTGATTTGTCTAGGTTTTGTGATCTGTCTTTGTGGTCCGTTTGTAGGCACATGCCTATGTTACTCAAAGCCTTTTGTGAATATGTAGTTGCAAGTATTTGTGCAGGAGCATTTTGTCCAGAAGCACGTATACAGCAGTATATACACACAAGTTATATCTATATATATATATATACACATGCATGCATGCATGCATGCATGCATGCATGCATACATATATATATATACATACATCTATACATATATATATATATAGATACATTCATTTACATGTTATTCTCTTATTTCTAGTTAGTTATATACATACATTTTCATGCATGTATACATGTATTTATTTTTTCTGTTTATCTATTTATAAATACATTTGCATTCATAAATTAGTTTATGTATACATGAATATCATATTCATATTAATGTGGATATATATATATAGAGAGAGAGAAAGATAATAAAGTACATAATGGACAACAGAGCACATATGGCATCAAATCATGAAATCATGTCCATGTAGTGTACTGTACAATATACATACATACATACATACCTACGTACGTACGTACATACATGCATGCATACATATGTATCTATATATATATATATTTATTTAATACCCCCCCCCTCTCAAGGATCTTCTCATGTGTTGGAGAGCCAGATGCAGCGAACAGACAGCATGGTTTTTCTTTTCAGCACAACGAACTGGTGAGAATGCAAAAGGTTGGACATGCCTGATTTTGACGCTACTATAATTAAAACCGCAGAAGGAAACACGACTAGCAGGGGATAAGCCTGTTGAGTTAAGAGAAACAGGCGCGCACTCTCCTATCTTTTCCTTATTTTGATGTGACCTTCAGTGCGGTGCAGTGTAATTTTGAATGAATACAGTACAAAGGAACCAATTGCAGACGTGATTAGGTCATTTGCAGGGGCACACAGCGGAATCATCAAGGATTCAATTTATAATCGCATATCTCATGACCTATATTAAACATTACATGTTATGAGTGATTTCGACTTTAGGATTCTATCACTTGTTCGCTTTGTCTTTGTCCTCTATCCCTTGTTTCTAGCTTTTCGGGTCTAGGGTTAATACTACTGGAAGGCTCGTAATTAAGGTCCCCAGTACCTGGGTAGCAGGGATTGGGCCCTGCCGCTCTTTCAGTGAGGGGCCGGCGACAGCATTGAGAACAGGGCCTAGGGCCCACGAGGGCCCAGCAGGGATCAAGCTTAGTAACCCCAGTTGCTGGGATATGATCTTCCTTTCACGAATTCGGTACGGTCGTGTAGAGGTGAAAATCATGTCTTGGGGGGGGGCTTCGACTGCGCTTGTTGCGTTCATCGCCCACTGTACATAAGTGCTACTTGAAATGGAAATATGAGCGAGGAGCCAACAGATTGGTGCGCGAGTTTGGGCCGTACAAGTAGCTGGCAGCTGTTGTGCTGCAGTCCGTAAACATGTATAAGCTTTCCTTTGCAAGCTTTGCTTCTCTGATGCGGTCTCAGTGTCTCTGCTGCTCATCGTTGCCGTGCATCTAAACTGACATTGATTGTTCGAGACGCGCCTCTCATCCATAGCTTTTGGCCGGCTTTGTTGGTTCTCGGTGGGGTTCTCGGAATGTGCAACACCGCGGGTAGATCGACACCCTCGGCTGGCCTCATTCTTGCGACACACCTTCTTGGCCATATCTTACGAAGTTCCGATGTAAACCCTTTGAGGCACGTTTCGTTTTCACTAACTTCTGCTAGCGGCATTCGCCATGGAAAGAAGAGAGTAGGCCGGCCAAGACAAGAATGGGTCATGTTCAGCAAGGAAGTCCGTTTATGAAAGCAAGCTGCCTTTGTCCAGCTTTTAAAGAAACTGCTGAGCAAGACCAGCGGGTACATGATGCAGAATTGCAAAGGACACCGAGATTTGTATTGTTGCATGCGCGTGCTGTGCCTTGCCTTTGGTAGGGCCGAGAACAACGATCTTTATAGGCATGCTTATACATATGCGCAGAAAGATAAGTGTGTATATATATATATACACGCACGCGCACATACACACAAGATTGCATGCATACATACATATATACATAGTGATGTATATGTATATGTAAAAAACATCTGTTCATATAAACCACATAGTAGCACAAGAATACAAATAATGACTCCGTGTCCCGTGCTGGTAGAATATAACGCCGGGTAGGTATTTTGTCGAAGGGCTTTGCACTTGTCCGTTTTGAGTTCAAGCTTTGCCGAATGTCTTTCCTCAAGACTTTGCTTGACTTTTTTCAGCTCAGGAGAAGCTCTTCCTTTGCGGAGTTGACGTCTTTCGGCTCAACTTTTCGCACGGCGAGCATGAAGAGAAGCTGGATCTCATCGACAAGATCCGTGACATTGAGGACAAGTACAGGCTGACGAAGAAGGGGCATGCTTTGCGTGGCCCCGCGTGTAAGCAAAGGCACTTTAGGATCAGGCATTCCAGAGAACACGTCGGCCCTCCATTCGGCATGCTGTATTGTTCAACAAAACGTCCGAAGCTGCACAGGCATCCCATCGCCATTCTGGGGGACTTGTCGCTAGGCGGTGACTAGCTGTTGGCTTCAGGCCCCCTGAACAAAGCAGAGGGCGAACCCCAAGCGACCATAGGCCTCGATAATATTAGTAAGTATTCGTTGGCTAAATACCAACCTACAGCACCCGGGTATCCTTTGGGCCAGGAGAGAATGCAGCAGCTAGGGACCTCACACTTTCGTTTCATAGACGTGCAATCGTCATGTGTGCTGGCATCCACAGAGTCTATTGCTTCAAAAACTCGGAGTGAACATGGAAAGTCGGGCTTGAAGTGTTCTGATGTGCCTTGGTTGTGAAAGACAACTCCTGTAAGCCAGTCAACATTGGAGTTATAAGGCTTTCAGTTCTGGAGCACTGTCAACTTTTCAATCGGTAGCTCGAGAGCTGTCTCCGCTATGGTTCGTATTCCCGACGTGCTGTTCTCCATGACTAAACCCTACGATGAAATGCAAAGAGATGTGTAAACAACGCTACGCAGTTCACAATTGTTACAGTCCCGACAGGCCCAGTAACTTGTACAAAAAGCTACCCTCCCTCTGGAACCATATTACACACATGTCATATATTCGATGCAATCTATGTACTTACACAATATACGATATAGTATAGTATGATGCAAAGGCTTCCCGGCTGTTTGTTTAACCCAGGCAGGGTCCGAAACAGCGCTGTGGCAAGTTCGAGGATCCCGATGGCGTGGAGCTTCCTGACACTGAGTGTGGGATTCTTTCGGTTACCGAACTGTTTCGGGTTTAGGGTTTGGGTTCTGTTGAGACGTGGTTCAAGTGTAGGGTCTAGGGTTTGGCTTAAGGGTTTCTCGGATCTGGCAGGTCGTCGAGGCGGGCTTGCATGGGAGGGTTAAGTTTCTGCGACGTGGACGAGGAAGAGCGCACCCGAAAAATAGGAGGTTTCTGCAGAGATTGATTTGTACCCAACGGCCAGGCCGGCGGCCGTTGCACAGCCACGGGACCAAACTCAACAACCCTTAACTAAAAATCCTACAGCACCAAGCAATGGGAGCATCGAGGCTGAAGCTCGGCCAGCTTTTTCGTTTCGACATGGACCCCGCGCTGGGCAACGATCCTGGGGGCTGCAGAGTTCGTTTTTGGAGTTTTTTTTTTTTAAGCCTCTAGGGCACCAGGGTAGACATAAGGTTGTGGGCTTTGGGCCGGCTTTGCTATGACTCCAACTTTATCTTAGAGTCTTAGAGCACGTCACCCAAACAGCCACCCCACAACCTTCGCGGGGCTTTCGGGACGAAGCTCGTAAGCCGCAAGCCGCCTCAAACCCGTCTGCAGGCCGGGGACGGAGGCTTGGGGGGTGGCGGCAGTCGCCTCCTATGCAACCCCAAACCCTCAGACTATAGACCTCACACTCCCGGAACCCCAAAGCCCCAAAGCCTTGAAGCCTCAACCCCCCGTAAACGGGACGAGCTGCAGCTTTCTGTTCTTAGGAGAAGCGGGTCCAGCTGCCCCACCCCGAGATTCTGGAGGCTTCCTCTTTCCAGGAATGTTCGATGTTCGGTGTTTGCGGGTTAGTGTTTAGTTCAGGCCGTTTGCGGGTCAAAGTCTTAAAGCGTTCATAAGGCGATGCGAGGTGTCCTCCTTCAGGGATCAAGGTGTGGTTGTGAGGTCTGAGGATTGTTGCAAAAGCTGGGGCAACGAAGAAAAACAGGCGTGCCGGTGCTTTCGAAACGTATGGTGATTATAAATTTGGATTATTTTGTTCTTCTGGATCTTTAAAAGTTTTGCCCTACGGTCTAAGTCGAATTCGAAACTTGTCGCGAACCCTGACCCCGGAAGCCTATGGAAGGAGTTTGTATCCTCGTCCATGTGAGGGTCAAGTAATATATGGAGGTCGGAATCAACTAATGAGTGACTGTCTGCCCTGCTAGTCCTTGCAGAGTTTGCAGCAGAAGACATTCGATGATCAAGTCTTCCCCCATATTTAAATCCCATCGATCCTTGTAAGACCCGTAAAGAAAAAAGCGTACGACAGCTCAGAAAGTGGAGGCTCTGGAGCCTGGCAAGGATCAGCGCCTCTTGCTGGATGATGGCAAGATCCGGATGAAGGCGGTTTAGGGTTTAGAAAACAGGGTTTAGGGTTAAAAGCCAGGATTCCACCCAAGGGGTCCCGGTGCCCTGTATAATCAGTAATCGGGGAGGCAGAAGCAGTAGAACTCAGTAGAAGTGGCTGTAGGTTCAGTACGCAGGCAGGAGAGAATGGGATAAGCTTAGGCAGGTATTGGAATTTCGAGGTTGGGGTGCAAGGCCCTGCCATCTTTTCGGTTCCTCCAAAAAGGACAGGCCCTGAAGCAGATTTTGGGCCCCTGCCGCTTCTGCTTTCAGGTGGTTCGCAAGGGCTACCTCGTGGATGGCCAGGAAGTCGAGCAGGAAGCAGCTGGAGCCACACCTTTCGTGGAATGCGAGGCTCGGCTCCGCACCTCTCACTTCGAACGCAATTTCTGGCTGTCTTTTGTTGTATGAGCGTTTTGCTGCTCTGGGGAGGAGTTGCGTGGTAGGGGGGTATCGCAGCATCTTGTCTATGTCGCTTTGAGCCGAACTACTTTTGCCTAGACCTGCGATTCCACACAGAAGGCTTTGCACCGTACTCAACCTTGCCCGTTTCGAAGCTGGAGACGTGCGCGATTGTGAGCGCATGAGGTTGTTTGTTGCAGACGAGCGTGTCACGTTACTGCAACCTGCCCATTCGACATAGCACAGGAGCCTGGCTCTGGGGGGGGGGGGGGGGGGGNNAGCTGGGGCTTTGCGAGGTTTGTTTGCAACGTGAGAAAGAAGCCGAGCTGTCCAAGCTTTAGACTTGGCCGGATCCCGAAAATGCTGCTGCGAAGCCCTTCGCCCGAAGTGCGCGTTTGAGGGCGACTCAATGAAGTTGTTTCGGGAGGTCACCGTCCCCGGCCACCTTGGAGCCCGGAAGGGTGTGAACACGCCGGACGTCATCCTGAACATGTCTCCAATAACCCCCAAGGACCGCATGTCTAGTACTGGGCGACTTGGGAATGTCCCAGGGATTCTAGAGATCTTGTACCACTATAGGAGGGAGTGGTGTTGCAGAGGTGGAGGGAGAGAGATGAACATCGCAGAGAGAAGTCTCGCGCAGTTGTCTGAAAGCATCCTGGGGAACGTCCAGGACAAAGCGGATCTGAAGTTC